AGGTAGCAAGACTCCTCAGAAAACATGTCATCAGCACGTAGCAAAGGCACCAAAATTAAACTACCTATAAAACACTAGTAGCATGAGTAGGATGTAGTAGCGTAGTCATGCATTGCAATGAACCCAAACCCTACTTGTATAAGTAAATAAAACACTAGTTACTTGTTCAAGTTGTCAAGATCCATTGGTTTACACTAGTTCCCCCCCAAAAATTCAAACAAGTGGATACCTACCAGTATAACTGCATCTACATTAGAACTGTTTCACAGACTCCTTTAACAAGCTACCTGCAAGTTGCTGACTACAGAATGATCATACACTAATTTGTTCCCAAGCAATCATGAGATACATGGGCAGCTCACTGGGACACTCTGGCTTTTCTTTGTAGAATTAGTTTTTGGTTTAATTAGCAATTGAACTCTTCCATCTACAAAACTCAAGTACTAGTGTCAGACTGACTGTGACCAACCCTCTCAGTAGCTGTCACACATCAGCTGAAGGGGATAAACTCTGATCTCCACCACCACAGCTGAAAACCAATAGCAATTTTTCCTCCCATCAGCAAGACTAAGGTGGAGAGACTCACAGAGTTCCCACCTTCAGCCACTTAGCAGATGGCATTACTAGTAACCTTACCAGACATTAATAAAAGTACTTCGGAACTAAGCACTCTTTTAGATGGCACCTCTGCTAAAAGATGCAAGCTTGCAAACCCTCTGCAAACAATCAGCACATAATACAAGCAATTAATGGAAAGACCTCACCTCCCTAACGGAAGGGAGCAACTGCCATGTCTCAAAGGGCATGAGGTTGAGCATTTTCCATGGTTCAATGAAATTCTCAAAGTTTGTTTATACAGGGCCTTTGTTGACACTTCCGCATGGTAAACAAACTTGCTACCAGAATTTCTACTTTAATGAAGAGACTCTGGACAGCCCAAGAGACTATACAGGTAATGTTACCTAACCCAAAATCCTACTGATACAAATAACTGAAGTGGTTTTTGCAGGTAAAATTGTGTTCAAGGGAAATGAAAAAGCTTTTGCTGGTAAATTAAGCAAGTCTAGCTCATTCCCAGGACATTACCTATACAATAACATAGATATACAAGTTACATGTGTAACAGAAGGCTGTACAAAGCCAGCACTAGTACATGGCACAGACTAATTCCTAACAGCAGCACATTAGAAAGTTTTAGATAAAGCAAATAAACAGTTAACCTCACTGCTCTCATCGGGGTCAGAGGTCTGTGATTACTTCATCCTGAACACCTCCTCACTTCTTCTCCCCCTCACTACAGTCATGCAATTTTCACCGTATCATAGTTCAACACTATTAAAGTACAACTACACTAATTCACAATCCCTGCCCCTTTCTGGGAGAATCAAATCTGGGGTCCAATTTAGCTTTTGGGAAAATTAGCAAAGCTGTCCACCAATGGCAGTCATATAAATTCAAGCTTTGCTTTCTGCATTACAGGGAACAAGCAGCAGAAAGGAGCAGCAACAGAGCCAGAAACACCTGGAGAACCTCAACTTTATTGTGCAAGACACAGGCTGACACTTGTTTTGGTGGGCATTTTCATAGAGCCTGAGCAGTGCTCCAAATTATTTCCATGACCTATTTAAGTTACAGGACAGAAATTCTGTCCTCAGTTTTAGGAGCCTAGGAGCATAGACCTTTATGAGAGTGTATTTTTGAAAGCCATCATTAGGCTTTTAGGTCAACTGCAAAAGACATGCCGAATACCTTGGTGCCCATTTCCCCACTTACAAAACAATTACAGCTTGCAGCATCTTGCATAAGAGGGTGCTAAGTGCTATTTTTTTAAAGCATTTTCAAATCTTGCAAGCTTCATCAGAGCTTAAGGAAGTGATAAGACTGGTTTTAATCCTTAGACTGCAAGGTTTTGCAATGAAAATCCACATGGTATATTGACATACTTCAAAACGCACCAGATCCAGCACCTTTCAATGTCAGCTATTTGTTACTTGAGACATGGAAGTTTAAACTTATGACACTCCTCCACAGTATCATCATACTGGGTGAATGTAACTTGTCACCACATTTTTCATTTTGACAGGGTAAAACAAGATCTGTTTTCATGCACCTTATTTCATCAGCATTAAAAAACACATTGTGGGAGCTGCCCATTCCATTTAGAATCACTGCTACAAAGGCACAAGTTTACACCTTATGAAAAATCAATTTAATTGGCCATTAATATTTTCACTACATGATGAAGCCACCACCAACTGAACTAACCTAAACAAAGTCGGTATGAGATGAATATTACATACATACCATAGTTTCCAGAATAAGGAACTTCTCTCAGGTAGGGATGTTCCTATTCTTGTTAGCTTCTCTGCCTAGATTAAGGAATCCAACCAGGTTCCCACAAAAGCCATAGGGAAGACTCTCACCACAATAGGAAGTACATCAGGACACTGATCATTTCATTCTTATAGGCCCAGCTACTCTTGATAAGTTCATTAGATCGATGTCAAAGACTGACTAGTCGGATTGCTTTATTAAACTATGAAGAAATATTATCAAGTATTGCCAACATA